CGTTAAATCACCCGAAAATAAAAATTATATTTTTCGTTGCGATCACGGAGCCCGGGAGCGGCCATTTTTACTCAAATATAGTAACACCTCGCTCCTGACATCTTCCGGCAGTGATGTCACGGTGCGGAAAGCCTAGCGCCATTCTCCCCGCTTTACAAGCAAAATCAATGGGAACTACTAGACACATCTGCAATCAACAACAATTATTGAAGATTTCCAGAGGACTTCACCGCTGAATTTCACCAGAGCTATAGTTAAACTGACAATGCCCTTAGGCATGGCAGTTATCTGTTGGAATACATCTTTTAAAAGTGAAAAAAAAAAGATGAGTTCTTTCACCTTTCCGATTCCTGATCCTCCACGGATGGGTTCGTCGTTAGATTGCAAACTTGAAGAGGGAGGATTTGCCATCGAACTTTTGGCCAGAGGAAAAAACATGTAATTTGTAGTCAACATTTCGAAGAAGAATGTTTTCGAGATGACTTGGATAATAGCGGGTTGTGACAAACACCAGATACAGCAGTGGGACTTGATCAACAGCTGATACGGCAGTAGTGTTCTTTGACAAACATGGATGCCTTCAGTAAAGCACATTTAAATTAAAATTACTCTTAATTAAAAACACTTATCATTTATCGAACAGTATGTAATAATTTAATATTTAACGTACTTTCAGAAGTTTGAATTCTGAATATGAGCAGACTTTTCCTTTAAATGGGTTCAGTTTTGAATTCAGCTCTTTGTCCAACTTAGGACACTTACGGACTCCAAATAGGCCTCAACAGAAATTCCACCAAGTATACCAACTATAAGCACTGCAGTTTTGTCCCGCAAGAAGTTGTGAACAGTATAATCACTGTAACAATTGCTCTGCCATATAGAAATGTTCGTTATAAAACTGTATTTCACAAAGACTTATCTGACTCGTATGCATTAGTCTTCCTACATCAAGGTCTACAAGACCAGACTTTCCCTTCTTTGCTGTAAAATCCACACACACTTTTGAAAACTAAGCAATTATTTTTAGAGGCGTGCAATAGTGGCCTTGAAACAAATTTCAAGGCCAGTATTGCAATTTACTCTGAGCTCAAAACAAAAAAAGGTTCACTAATCGTGTGTTCAGACCGAACGAAATGTTCGTGGTGATTTGCGGTGAGCTCAAGGACAGTTCACCACTCTGCATTTTAGATGCACAGTCTTTGCACCCTGGACTGCATCATCAAATAGGAGGATCGTCAGCTATGTGAAGCTGACTCCCCACTTCTGTGGAAAAAACTCAAATAGATTGAATTTTTATTGCTTTTTAGTGCAGGTTTTTAAATTTAAAATTCATTTGTAAAAATTAAATAAAAAGATCATGTGTGCTGCTGTTATTTGAGAGATATTAAAGATTATTTTTTGTGTCAATCAGGTCAACTAACCCCCATTAGGCTCCCAATTTAATCCAAATTATCTAGCTTACTTTTTCAGTGCTACCGGTACTTGAAAAACAGTTCTTCGTGCTGATTTGGTTTTTAAGATTATTTCTAATTTTGGCCGATAACGTCGCCATCCCAGCTGATGTCAGCGCTGCGCTCGTTCCTGATATAAAGTTATTGCTTAACATTGCTTGTGATTCCTGTGCTGGTAATTAATATAACAGTGGGCATGTTTACTTTACTTAGTGGCTGGAATGATTGTTTAATATTTAGTCAATCACCAGCCTCCCATACCCTCTGCTTTTGAACTGCTGATACTCCTGTCAAGGTCTCGCTGTCAGCATTTCACAATAAAAGCACAAGTTAAACTTAACATAACAGACAGCTGCTAATTGTTTTTCTATGAACAACTTTTCAAGTTGGGAAAAAGACCCAAATGTTTTGGATGAACTTTCATACATCCAGATGACCGGTTTGTCTGGATGACAGCCAGATTTTGCGGGACTTCCTTGTAAATCTACCCCTGCTGAAAGAACCAATTCTGGGAAGTGAGGATGATGAGTTTAGGATGACGAATAGTCCCTCTAGGACTAAATTAGAACCTTTTTTTGTATTCCATTTTAAATGAAAAAAGCTTTTCCTACATTCAGTTTAGCTTGTTTCAACTTCAGTGATCACCGCATCTCTCCAGGCGGTGCTGATGTTTGACAGCACCCCAGCTCTATTTAGTAGCACAAGGTGAGGGAGGAGCAGCGAATGTTTCCGCCTCATGGGATTCGCCGCTGGCTGCTTCTCCGTGCGGCTTGTGTAGGAATTCAAGGTCAATCCACCACACTCGTTGCTGACACCTTGTCCGGTCTGAATGAACCGTTTGAGTACCAAAAGCCCTTCACAGATTCTGAGTGTTTTTTTAGTAGTCTTTGAAATATTTTAGGATGGGAATAAAAAGTATCAACACAGACCAAATTCTCCTCGTCCACAATGGCATGTACACTGTGCCATTGCTAAAGCTATAGTATTCTTAGAGGTCATAACTCAAGCGATACAACTAAGATCCTTGAGCTGTGCATGTGGTAAGGACATGGTTATTCAAAGTTATATAAATGCAAACTATGAAGGACTGTCTTTTGTAAAGGAACAGGAGACATTGAGGGTTAAGGCCCCTGCCCAAAAATGCAAAAAATAGTTTAAGTCCAGTAACAGGGTTCCTACAGCATAAGGCAAGTTAAATTCAAGACTTTTTAAGACTTTTTAAAGCCACCTGAAATAAAAATTTAAGACCAAATTCACAAGAAACACAAGAAAAACC